ATAGCAAAAGCCCTAATTCATTATGCTCCAACTCATCACACTATAATCATGCATATAGGAGAACAACTAATCATGCATGAAACAGTGAACTGAGTTACCCGAATGCATCACTGGACCCATATTCGTCAACTGATTGCAATTCCTCGGCTCCAAATCAACAAAACAAATTATCCATCAATGCTCGAAACTCATCCATGCGGATTGCCATCACTCCAAATTCTTGTGGACCTCGTACCATTGCAGATTATCGAAGTAAATGACCATTGTTACAGACGTGTCGAACCAAAATCATCGCCAAAGTCGGCCAGAATCCCGCCGACACCAATTCCCAGAAAAAGAAAATTATCATTCAGATTTCAATAAAACAATAGAAACAAGATGAACTTTATTCATTGGTTCTTAATAACACAATTAGCATATCAAAATACAAGTTTATTCATTACACTAATAATACAAGGAGAGTTAATAAACCAAAATTATCTCAATCTACAAACATCATAACCAACTACAGCGGAAGCAATACATTCAAAATCAAAATTATGATGTTTAAATAGAGATATACTTTACTAACTTGAGACATACATATTCAATTATGTAGGCGTAGGAAGAAAATCACCAACCCAGATCGAGAATCGCCAGTTCTCTCCTCGTTCAGACTGGTAATGGTCAAATTTTTTGAAAAAAAAAACATGACCCTATTCTTTGTCTTTTTAATAGCCAACGGTCGTAAAAATTTTAACCAAAGTGTGCCATAAACAACGTCGTATTCCTTGTTCTTTAGAAAATCAAATAGAAAGACTTTATATGTTGCAGATTTTAGGAAACGATTTTTGATCGAATTTAGTTGTTAAATTCAATGGCTCTGCTACCACATGTAAGAATAAGCACAACCTTTATAATATACTTAGCCAAGAACACAAGAATTTACCAACTAAATCACAACCAACGCATCAAATATGTTCTACATATGCAAATACTGAAGTAATATCTGCAACACATACCTGCAGACTATTTAACGAAGTCTTTCCCATGTGTGCTGTCAGAAGACAACAGATCATGCAGCTCTGGATGCCATTGGAAGGCAGTCACAAGATAGTTGTATGCGTGTACTGTGGACACATAGACCTTATCATCTTCATCAGCACAAGTTGTCAAGATCTTAAAGAAAGTCGATAGATTCTCGTTCTCCATAAGCCTCTTTGGTGAGATTCCATGTTTATGGTTTTGCATTACAACACAACCTTATCATCTTCATAAGTACAGTGTCATTTCGTTTTTGCCCTTACTGAATTTGTTTTATTTCATTTCTGCCGAAATCTCAATCGGTGCCTCTTTCTTGCGCTACTCCTGATTTCCACGTGTTCGTAATCTTGAAAGAAGGACGGAAAAGCCGACCTTTTTTCCTTTTGCTTCCAGAAACAACGAGCTCTCTCTCGCAGAAACCACAAGCTCTATTTGGAGGAACTACGAATCCATCTCCACTTCTCTCTCAGAGCCCTGCTCGAGTCCTCAGGTAAAACCCTATTGTTCCCTGTTTTTCTTCTCAGCATCTTACAAAACTATTTCTTTCTTCATATTTTCTTTATGTTTGGCTGAAATTATGAGTTGCCGACTCCCACTGTCTTCCTTCTCGACTCTATTCATCGGGTAAAACTCATCTTCTTCCTTGATTTCGACTTCTCTTTAACTCTTGACCTTCACCATGCAGTCACTAGCCTATCTGCCGAGTTGTACCAGAAAGACATACCGTTTTCTTATGAAGCTACAGGTATTTAAAATTTTGCTGTGTTTTTCCAAAAATTAGTGAAAAAGTTTCAATTTTTCCTTACCCTCGTCAATAAAACTCGAAATAATTTGTAGGTTTCTTTTTTTGTGTAATTTTATTTGCTGGGTTTGTTTCTTCGTTGATTTTTATGTTAGAGTATGAGTGTGATTCTCACAGTTTAGTAATAGTCATTGTTATTTCAGATTGGTATAAAGAGGTCTTAATGTGTCTATAAGAGTTAATGACTTTGGTTTGGATTGGAACTCTATCGTTGGCTTGAGAATAGAACTCATACTTGTACAAGGATTTGGTCTTGTATTCCTTGTAGGATTGTAATAGGGCAATCTATGTTTAGTATAAAAACATAAGCCACTGCTCTCACAAAAGATACGCTCAATATTGAACTAAGACCTATTGTTAGTTTAAGTACTTTTGGTTTTGCAAGAGAGGAGAAGGGGCACTGTTTAGAAGTTTGCTTTGGCTTCCACTGTTTTTACGGTCTTACAATACAACCACCACATTACGGCATTCACCACAACAAGGATCAGATAGTGGAGGAGCTATTCTACCATCATGAGCATAATGAGCTTTTGAAGTCGGTCGAAGAATGGATAAAAGAAACGGCAGAGTCATGCTCAACCGTAGCGGTGCTAGTGGCCACTGTGGACTTTGCGATCGCCTACGCTATCCTACGGGTTAGTTTGTTATTGTGTTTATCGAATTGTGATTTTAATACTTGTATAAATTTGTGGTTCATGAGCTTAATCTCTTAACTTATAAATTGGATAAGTTTAGTCTTACATGTGGTATCAGAGCCTAAGGTTTTTGCTCTTGAATTCAAATTGACGGTATTAAAATCAAAGCAATAATAGGCGTGATGGTTTAGCCGGAATTGATCTTGGTTTGCAAAGAAATTTCTAGGGTTGCTGTAAGGGCTGAATTATTTAGTCGGTCAATATTGTCTCTTTTAAAAATCTCCGGATGGTACCCATCTTTGGACATTGATCTGGCCATAAAACCACCCGACACATTTATAATGTTTTTGTGAAGATTAATCTTGTATTGCTGATACATGTCCTTGGGATCAAAACGTTGCGGTAGTACATCGTTTGTGCAGCTGTCGAAGCAGCATGTTTCCATGTCCATGAAATCCTCGTTTGCACTTGTGTACCCTTCCCTACAAAACAAATCATGCTACATGTACCCTTAAAAATCTGCAATGTTGTAGCAAACTAAGTCTTTTATATCAAGTCTGTCTATTTGGTTTTCGAAGAACAACTAATACGACATCGTTTGTAGCATACCCTTTAAGTTTAATTTTATGCCCGTTGGCTGCTTAAAAGACAAAGAATAGGGTTTTGTCTTTTCAAATTTTTGACCGTTAGCAGTCTGAGCAAGGTGAGAACTTGTGATTCTCGATCTGGGTTGGATATTTTCTTCACACGCCTGCATAATTGAAGATATATGTATCAAATTAATAAATTATATCTCTATCTAAACATCATAATTTTGATTTTGAATACATTGCTTCCGCTGCAGTTGGTTATGATGTTTGTAGATTGAGATAAATTTTGGTTTATTAATCCTCCTTGTATTATTAGCATAATGAATAAACTTGTATTCTGATATACTAATTGTGTTATTAAGAACCATTGAACAAAGATCATGTTATCTGCATATTGAGATTATATTATTATTTTGGTTCTTCATGTTGACGTTAACTCGTTTGTCATTCTATTGTTGCAGTGGTACGAGGTCCATGGGAATTGGGAATGATTGCAATCCGTATGGATGGGTCTTGAGCATTGATGGATAATTTGTTTCGTTGATTTGGAGCCGAGGAATTGCAATCGGGTTGTCGAATACGAGTCCAATGATGCATTCAGGTAACTCAGTTTACTGTTTCATGCATAATTAATTGCTATCCTATATGCGTGATTATAGTGCGATGAGTTGGAGCATAATGAATTAGGGCTTTTGCTATTCCGAGTATGCTTGTTTATTTTGTGAAGGCACAATTAAACTCGAAATCCCTATAGATGCCAACTTATGATTTATGTGAGATGACTGGAATCATTCTTTCTGCATAAAGATTCATTACACTAATATTTGGTGTACACATTGCTCTTCTATTTTTGAGTTAGAGCCTGTGTAATTAGATTGGGTGGAAAATATTGTTTTGTTGCTATTTTGTAGTCTCAAGCAGATGTAAGATTTCTCATTAACTTGCTTGAAACTTGGAAGCTTGCATCATGATTTTCCATTATGAATTATGATAATAGAATTTGACTTATTGTTGCTACCAAATACCTGTGGCTTTTATGTGGGTCTGATTGGTTTGAATTATTCTAGAAAAGCAAAATTGGATTATACGAGTATCCATAATGACGTTTTTAAAATTATGAGTGTAATTCATATCCCAATTTTGGTTAGACTATATATAATAGGTTTTGGGGGTGTTGCCATATATGTGAATGATGTAGTTCGGAATTTTTGGGTTCGTTAATGCCAATATGTACACTGTATAACCAAAAACATGTGAAGGCTCTTGTGTTAGTACCTGTATGAAATGATATAAATTGTTTAGTGAAACCTTGTTGGCAAGAATGTATTCTAAAACTCATCTCACTTGATATATTGTAAGTGTAAGAGATTTGATATTATGTATTAAATCTATAAGCACACTAAATTTTATTGGATGTTCATCTTGATTATCTTGTTTTAATCAAGATGACTTGTGCCTTTATATCCAGACATTATCAAATTTTAGTTGATCTTGCTCGATGGGTATTGAACTAGTTAGGATCAAATTGAATGCAAGAATATTGTGCTTGCTATTCTGATTTTGATTATTGTTGAAACTGGTGATTTTGGGTTTATGTGAGATAAGTTTTCCGAATGGATTGTGACTATCTTTTAATACATAGACTGTTTGCATAATGGTTTAGGTGTATTTGACTAAACTGAGATTATGCAATTGGTAAGGAATCGGGAATCTATTGGTTCATATCTCCGGTTTCTTTATTGGTTGTGCAGTACATTCTGCTTATGCTTAAGTGGGAGAATCATATGTTCGAATGTAAGCATAAGGTTATTTAGGCCGGCCATTATAATTCTTATGGATGCTTGAAAACTAGATTATGGTTTTATTGAAGCAATTGGTAATTATTTATGTTACTTAATTTGTTTAAGTAATGAGAAGTTTAGTGCTATTTGCTGGAACTAAACTTTAACTTGATATAGTGGGAGCAAATCAATTTATGTGTTTGTTCTGGTCAAGTAAAATCACATTGTTGTAAATACAAATTGGATGAATGTGATCATGGAATTTGTTTGCATATTGGTTGCAGCAATTGATCACATTGATAAGACATTCAATGTATTGCAATGACTGTTAGTTAATACAGTTGATATTAACTTATACTTAACTTGTTTGTGTTAAGTATAGCCTAGATAAGTGGGAGCAAATTGGTTTGGTTTTTGCTATATTGGTTCACATAATTACAAAGTGCAAATTAAGTATGTTGTGACTTTTGAGTTAATTCTGCGATGTAACAGAAAAAATTCTTAAGTTCAATACTTTAAAATGCATGGGTAAGTTGTATGTGAGGTTAAGCTTTTGTTATCCAAAAGATTTGGTTGCTATATGAGTGGGAGTCGACGTCTTGGTTTACTTTTGAGCTTAGATACATTGATATGAACATGAACTGGACATTGTGATTTATAAGTTAAATCTGTATTTTGTGTTGCAGAGGCAATTATAAATTCATTGTTTTGGTTTATGTAAGCTGGTTGTATCTATGTACTAGTGTGTTGATAAATGACTTATGTGATCACCTTTATATTGAATTTGAGATGATTATTTACTGTTGTGAATCATACTCAAGTGGGAGAATGTTAGAGTATGAGTGTGATTCTCACAGTTTAGTAATAATCATTGTTATTTCAGATTGGTATAAAGAGGTCTTAATGTGTCTATAAGAGTTAATTCGACTTTGGTTTGGATTGGAACTCTATCGTTGGCTTGAGAATAGAACTCATACTTGTACAAGGATTTGGTCTTGTATTCCTTGTAGGATTGTAATAGGGCAATCTATGTTTAGTATAAAAACATAAGCCACTGCTCTCACAAAAGATACGCTCAATATTGAACTAAGACCTATTGTTAGTTTGAGTACTTTTGGTTTTGCAAGAGAGGAGAAGGTGCACTGTTTAGAAGTTTGCTTTGGCTTCCACTATTTTTACGGTCTTACAATACAACCACCACATTACGGCATTCACCACAACAAGGATCAGACAGTGGAGGAGCTATTCTACCATCATGAGCATAATGAGCTTTTGAAGTCGGTCGAAGAATGGATAAAAGAAACGGCAGAGTCATGCTCAACCGTAGCGGTACTAGTGGCCACTGTGGACTTTGCGATCGCCTACGCTATCCTACGGGTTAGTTTGTTATTGTGTTTATCGAATTGTGATTTTAATACTTGTATACATTTGTGGTTCATGAGCTTAATCTCTTAACTTATAAATTGGATAAGTTTAGTCTTACATTTTATTCAAAAATCAAAACAATTTCTGGGTCTTTTGTTGTCTCTAAAAAAAGGTGCAAAAGTTTCAATTTTTCGATACTAGCATCAATGGAACTTGGAAACAAATTGTGGTTTTGTTCTTTTGGTGGATTTTAATTGTGGGTTTTTGATTTGCAGAATGCTGAAGACAATGAATACGAAGAAGGGGTTGAACCAACATTGGAATTTGTGATGACAAAGAAGGAGATAACTGGGAGTGGAGCTCCAAGAGACAGCAGGGCTTTATTGGAGAAAAAGGTAAATTAAAAGGTTATATATAAACTTATTTTCAATTTAAACAACATCCTATATATTTTCATACTGCATGTTGTGTGGGTAACCTCAAACAAATATGTCAAACATTTTTTTCTTTCTAAATTGTTGAAGTGTTTCCATTTTTTGGTGCAGATCTCCAATATTGGCTAGCGTGAATCTTGGTATCTTCACATGCATGCAATGTTCAGGGATCCACAGGAGTCTTGGGGTACATATATCAAAGGTATAATTTTCGGTTATGAAAAAACTTCAAATTCGTTTTATTATTTGTATGGTACTCAATTCCATATTTTATGCGTTATGCTAATGAGTTTCGGTTCTAGTTTTTCCTGCATTATTCTGATGATTTGGATGCTTTCGTAGGTGAGATCTGCCACTTTGGATACAAGGCTCCCATAGCAAGTTGCATATATCCAATGTAAGTACCAATGCTGTTTTACTAGCTTCTTTCCATTCTGGTAGTAAGGTCATATCTCTGTCAAGCAAGGTCGTACTGAGAGTGAGAACACCAAGGGCACTCTCTCTTACCCTCACTGACCCACATTAAAAAAGAGGCACATTATGTTTGCACCCTATTTTCACATATCTCTGTAAATTTAGGTATTTTTCACCCAATTTTTTTTTTTTCGTTAAGCTTTCATCTTGCTGTAAATTTAGGAGTTTTCTCTCTGTGTTGGTCCATCTGCTTATACTTTTCAAATGTTGGTTCATCTTATGCAAATATTGGTATGCTTAACAGTCTACTGACTGCAACAGTGACGGCAGAAGTGGAGGAAATGACGGTGGTAATTGAGGTGCAATGGTAACAGTAGAGGCAGCAGGAGGCAATGACCGTGGTGGCGAAGACATTGTTGGTTGCAGAGTTGCAGAGTAAGTTTCTATTGAGTCTCTTGAGATGTATTGTAATTTGTATTTGTATAACACCATAACACTCCTGTGAGAATATTTAGCTACTAATAGATAAAGGGTAAATAATAGTGTCCCGATAACTGACTATAAATTTGATATCAAATCTAATGATGGATATTTTTTTCAGCCATTTAGCAAATTTTCTTTAATAATCGATTATCGTGTTGTTTGCATAGTCTGAAATATCGATAATATCGATGAAATATTGAGGATATTTCGATTTTTTCGAATCACAGATATTTCAGAACATATACATGTACATATCATACAAATATCGACAATATTAACGATAATATCGAAAAATATCGAATATCAGTGTAATATCGTTAAAATATCGAAAATATTGATGTAAAGGAAGGAAAAAAAAAGGAAAAAGAACAAAAAAGGGAAAAAGGACAAAGGGGATTTGAACTCCCATTTTACTCCTCCAACATCTTAACCACGATATATCACTTATCCAAACATTAAAGTTGTTCGAAAGTGCTTGAAAGAGGAAGGTAGAGACCTCAGTAACATGATAGCCATATCATTATCTTTGTAAGTTTCTTCGACCTTTTGAAGATTAGCTATGCAATTCTGGAACTTGCATACGTGATCTTCAATATCACCTCATTCTTCTAGTCAAATCCCGAATGGTTCATCCTTTAGAAAAAGTTTATTCGACACGGTTTTGCCCATATAAACATTCTCCAACTTTTCCTATGCTTCCTGGGCAGTCATCTTTTCAGTGATGTGTAACCGGACTAATCTTGTGAGATGGATCTCCATGGAACTCTTAACCTTCTTGAGAACCTTAGTCCATACTGCCTCTGTCATGTTTTTCGGCTTCTCACCATCGAGTGCATCATCCAAACCCTGTTGTATCAGTATCTTCTTCATCATCCTTTGCCAGTCCGTGAAGTCATCCTTGCAGTCAAAAGGCTTTAACGCAGGTCCTTGATCCGCATTCATCTTCCCTTTTGACATCGTAGAACACCTTGATCCTAGCTCTGATACCAATTGTTGAAAAAACCTGCACACTAGACCTTGTTCTTTAATGTAACCAACAACAATAGACTAAACTAGCAAATATTAGAAAACTTAGAAACACACAAGAATTATACTGGTTCAGCAACATTTTTGCCTACGTCCCGTTGTGATTTCTCTAGGTAGAGAAATCACCGCTCCTTTGATTAATAATAGAGATTACAGAACTTTTGCAAACCCTATAACTAATCTCAAAACTCTTGGCTGTCTGGCTGTTTTCTTTCTCTGTAAAAATCAGCCTTGACGCACCTTATTTATAGACATAGGGTTGGCATACATGTCCCAAGGCTGATTGAATTCCTATTTATAAGTTGATTAGGAAATTACACTTATTCAAATCCAAATAGACTTCTAGAAATCCAAACCTAAATTGAATAAGGAAACTGAAATTCTTTCTTAATCCCTCTAGGACAAGAATCGGTATACCTCTAGGTTTCCTAAAACAATCCTAAACCAACTAGGACATATTTGACGAGCCAAATTCGTAACACATAAATCAAGTGACGTGGAGCATGTGGGGATTTTAGGCTTTAAGAAGAGGATAACTTGGTCTGATACTATGAAGAAGTTGAGGCTTCTCCATAAAACCAATTTGCAATATGGGGAGTAACTCAACTTATAAGTCCTTACAAGGGGAGTAACTAAACTTATAACCCCTTAGAAGGTTTCTTTTTTCACCAATGTGGGACTATTTAATTAACCTTCACATCCACACGTGTGGCGAATTTTAAAGCCAAACACGTGGACAACACAAATTGGCTAACGTGATGCATGTTACCATTGGACTTCAAATGTGGGCCAATTTGCACTAATTTTATTAAGAAGTTGAGGCTACACTATAAAATCACTTAACAATATGGAGAGTAACCAAATTACTTACAAGTACATACAAGGACCATTCTTTCTCCGATATGAGATTCATTCTCATCATAACAAACACCATTACATAAATTTAACTAATATGCAGATCAATCCAAATGCACACGCTTGGATTGGGATTGTCGCTACAAAATCATAATTGGCATTGGGTGATGACTCGTTACCTTCATGAAGAGTCTTCTCTTAGAATCATTCACCCTGACCTCAAAGCTGTAAACATTTTGTTAGATGAAAACATGAACCCCAAAGGTACGTTTGTTGTGCCGGACTATCTCGGACCAGACTAGCTTCAAGGACTAAGCTGGACTGGCTTAGACTAGACTAAGCTGGACTAACTTAGTGAAGTGTTTGGTGCAGTGTTGGACTAAGAAGCTGGATAATAACAAATTCTAATATTATATTAGTTAATCTATAAATTATTAATATTTTATTATGATCTTATCTTTTTCTCTATCTTTTCCTACCATTTCCGTCTCACTTTCTCCCTCTTTTCTTAGTTCTTCGTCCCACATTCTCCCTCTTTTTTTCCTCCCAAACCTCTCGATTCCTGTCTCTCTCTCATTCCTGGTCAAACTTCTTATCGATTCTAGTCTCTATTTCTCTGTCCTCCCACCCTCTCTAGTTGTGCGTTATTCGAACGGAACCTCATGGCTCCATTTTTCCTAACAGGTTGCAGGTTTCCCAACGTGTTTTCCGGCTAACCCTCGTTGAATTGGATGAAGTTAGCACCGCCAAAAAATTCCTCACTATCCCTGGACCGAGATCTTAACTTTGCATGCTCGAATCTGTCATGGATTCGAAGAAGCCCAAACAGGTCGAGAATTCCAGGCCATTTTCCGGCCACATTTGACCACATTTTGGCCTCGATTCAAGTAGAATCGTAATCTTGTCACTCCCAACTTCAATTTGGTATATTTTATATGAAAGTTGGTTGTGAAATGGATTTGAGAGAGTCGAATCGGAAAGTTAATGATTGATCTAAGTGACCAGAGATGACGAGGAGTCTGTTAGGAATGGTCGTTAAGCATAACGTGGACGAGAGAGAAAGAGAGGATAGTCTTAGCTAGTCCCATGGTTTTTGGGGGGTTTCGCTAAGACCGGCTAGCCCATGATTTAGTCTAGGCGAGTGAGACTTAGTCTCATTAAATCTAATCCCCGCTAGGAACAAACTTGGGACTGGACTAATCCTTAGTCCTATCCAGTCCAATGAATTTTAGTGAGGGCAAACAAACGGCCCCCAAAATTGCAAATTTCGGCATGGCAAAGTTTGTTGTGCTTGCTTGATCAAACACGAGGAGAAACCGTTCGAATTTGTTTGAACCTAGTATCTGTACACTAAACTATGCTGTATATACACCTTCCAATAGTTACCGTGTTTATGTATGTATGATGTATATAGATTACAATTTTCATGAGCTAGCACACAATTGATTGAAGAATAATATTGTGACATACAAAGTGATCTCACATACAAAAGTCGTGCATAATTCTATTACAGAGTGTGTCAGCAAATATATCAATTTTGTATGTCAAAATAATACTTTTGTTGATAAAATTTAAGATATTAGCTAGCTTCGAACAATCCAAAAGAACAAGAATCAAGATAATCTAAACTAAACTATAAAACCTTACCATGGTAGTGAATTAATGTTTCCCCTTAATTGTGTTGAGGCCCAGCTATCAAAGTTTTGAGTAATTAACAATGCAATTGAAGAACAAGCAATGTCGAGCAATAAAAGAATTAGATACTACCTATAAACTGTTCCTTAGAATTAAGTTTTCCTTTCTTGTTGATATTCATGTGCAGCAGATTTATGGCTCCAAATAAGTATTGGTCATTTTTCTGTAAAGTTTGTGTTGGGTCTTTTCCAGCTCATGATAAGTTGTCCTACATCTATAAGGAATTATAGTCTTAGAGGATTAAATTGTTTTCCCAATTGGAGTTAGTTTCTCAATTGGAGAATGATTCATAACTAGATTCCAATTAGGATTAGTAATTCTTATTGAATAAGACCTTTATTATGTCTATATAACAGGGCTATTGTACTAGTTTTGAGAAGGGAGCAAAACAATAAATTGTATACCACTCAAGGGATTAGAGTGAGAGAATATTGTAAAGTGTGTGCGAGAGAAAAGAAAAAAGACAGTGCATTTCTTGTTCTTATTCTTTAAGGTTTTTCGACAAGTCCTAGTTCTAGAGATTTGGCAAGATTATTGGTTGTCCTCATTATTGATATAGTGAAAGATTGTTATTGCTATCCCGTGGATGTAGGCACATATTGTCGAAGCACGTAAATTCTTGGTGTTATTTATCTTGGTTATTTGTTTTCAATTTCCAGAGTTTGTTCTATTTTTCCCATTCTTAAACGCAATATTCTCAACAAGTGGTATCAGAGCCAGGTTTGGCTGATATCTGTTTATAATGGAGGGTGCAATTATGATGAAACTCACCCACTCCAACTGGGTTACGTGGTCAAGAATGGAGGACATGCTTTATTGTAAAGATCTCCATGAGCCAATTGAATGTATTAATAGCAGGCCAGAAAATATGTCTGATGCCAATTAGACCAAGATGAATCGTAAAACTATTGGTACGATTAGAAAATGGGTGGATGAAAGCATCTATCACCATTTGTCTAAAGAAACTAATGCCCAAGCTCTTTGGAAGAAGTTAGAATCCCTCTTTGGAAAGAAGATCGCTGCTAAGAAAGCATTCCTTATCAAAGAGCTTGTCAATATGAAGTATGCAAAAGATGTTAGTGTAACAGAGCACTTTAACAACTTTCAGAACGTGATCAATCAGGAAGCCACTATGGGTTTGAATATTGAAGAAGAGCTGCTAGCACTTTTACTGCTAGGATCCTTGCCAGATAGTTGGGAAACCTTCGTCGTAACTATAAGCATTTCAGCTTAATGGCGTATTGTTTATGGATGTTATTAAGGATAGCATGTTTAATGAGAAACAAGGAGAAAAGCTTCAGGTGCAGGTGCTGGACAACTCTTTGTCACTGAGAAAAGAGGCAAAAATTCTCGTGAGACGAGATTTAATGGCGACTGCCACTATTGTAGGAAAAAGGGTCACGTGAAGAAGCATTGTCGTAAATGGAAAAAGGAACAAAAGGATGGGAACAATACTGCAGGTGTTGTGACTTACGATGAAGAGCTTCTTTAATGCAGATTGATGGTTTTCTGGCAAAGAAGTCTATAATTGCCTTTGCCAATGAC